GTGTGAACGAATATGTTCAGTTTTATTCTTGTGAGTTGAGATACTGCTGGCAGTCGAGGTCTCCTTTCATTTCTGGAGCTCCAGAAATTCTTCTTCCATTTTTCGGATAGACACACCAGCATCCAGCAGCCTCTCCATCCAGTGAAGTTTCGCACTAGAATATTATTAGCGAAAAAAAAAAAAAAACAAAAAAAAAACCCTCCACAATTAGTAACTGTAATCAGATTACCTGTGAGATACTGTAAGTATAGGTGCTGGACAGAACTAGGATCAGAATGTGGGGGTCTGCCATGCACAGATTTCTTTTGACTGCAGTGGTTTCCGCTCTGACAGAGCCTCTGACCAACCACACTTGGTTAGGAAGCCATGGCCCAAGCTCAGCTACGACAACAGCAACTTCAGATTAAAAACAGTTTGCCCACTCCTTGGTAGACAGAGGTATAAACCAACAATCTCTTCCAGCATGAGAAACTGAAGGAAGGCAGAACAGACGAGCTGATCAGGTGAAAGCAATGACTGGATGGTGTGGCTCTTCACACAAGGAGGCAAATAGGGTGGGTTTCTTTCTTGGGGAGGGGGTTAAACAGATTTCTGTTTGGGCCTGATTAGATTCCAGGTCACCGTGTTTGCGAGTCACACAGCCGTGCCATGCCCCAAAAACAAGGAGTCTCGCTGACACAGATTTATGCAGACCTACTAAATTTGTGTGCATGACCTGTGGTTACAAGGGTGTGGCTTGAGGTTTGGAGCTTTAGTTACCTTCGCAGATTACTCTCAGTGTAGCTTGCAATGGCTTTTTTTGAGGCTGTAATGGAAATGAGCATATAACATAATCCATAGGCAGCACAAATCAGTATTTTTGTCCTCCTTTCAGAAGGCTAATTTTGCTCCAGAGAATTTTTTCACTGCCTGTGTGAGTTTTTCACTGCCTGGGAGGTGAGAGCCTCCTCTCTCCGTAGTGATTATTCAGCAGGCTCTGCAGGCAGCATGTTGGATATTATGAATTAATGTCAGCTGGGAATATGCTAACAAACCAGGTAGGTGGAGCTTGATTTGGCCTGGGAGCAGACAGGGTTAAAAGATTTTGGAAGAGGCCTTGCGTGCACCTGTTCCGTGAATGGAAAAGCCTCCTGCCTCCATTGCTGTCATCCCACCGCGTGCAGCTCACTTTTAAGAGAAGGACAAACCATCTGCTCCCACTCCTAAGTATCCCTGTTTTCACAACCTGCTTTCCCAGCAGCTGCAAACTTGTGAGTTTGGGAGCGGAGGGCAAGGAGAGAGCTGGCTGGGTCAGGCTAGTCGCAGCGCTGCTGCGAGCAGGCAAGGGAAAAAGCACGTACCTGTTTGCTGTGGTAAAATCCGTTCTTGTTGCAGTTGGGCAAGTAGAACTTGTAAATCTCCCCTCCGCTTCTCTGCTGAGCTTTTGCCAATTTATACAAGGCTCTGTAGAGCTCCTTCTGACAAGGTCCCTGCAGGAATACCATGCAAATGTTGTCAATACCAAAATCACAAAGAAACCAGCTCAACAAAAAGCGATTGGTATAAAGCTAGCAAAAAGCTGAAAATACTTATTAGTCATATAATCTGCACCAGGCTGCTTTGCATGTAGCCTTTACTTGTTTCAGCAGGAGCACAGCCAGAAAATTCTGGTGTTGCATTTAGGCCTTTTGTTTTTATTCTTTGAGGTATTTTCTGTCCTCAGAAACATGAGGATTTAAGTCCTTAAATTGCCACACAAGGAAATTTAACCTGTACTAAGTAAACACATTACTGCTCAGAGGGTACAATCTCTCCTATTATGGGGAGGTGCACGTTAGGAGGCTGGTGTACGTGAGACTAGCCACGTTTTCTGGGTTGCCATGGCCCTGCGCTCTGTTGATGTATGGAGAATAGGTGCAAGACATATATAGACTGTGCAAGAACAAACATCTGAATGTTTGTTATCTTTTGTGCAGGACAGAGCTGTCGCCAAAACAGAACAGAGAGCACCCCCGTGGCTCGGAGACCCAAACCCAAACTGCCTGGAACTGGCGATGAAGAACTGTTTGAAATATTCATGGTTTTCACAATTTGCTCGCTTCCTTTTTCAAAGTCACAATGCCGTGCATTAATAGTACCTAACATGTTTAAATGAGTGAAAGGGGAGGAGGAGTGACTGAACAAATATTTTTACTTTAGAGTGAAAATAATCATACCCTCTGCTTTTGTAAGACCTCCCTGTGTCAGCCCCTCACATAAGCGATCCTATTCAAGACAACACCTTTATCTCTGGCTCCGAGTGAGAAAAGCAGAAGCCTAAAAATCAGAACTGGAGCTAACAGCTCTGAAGTATAATAGTTCAAACTAAATCAGTGGTTAAGTCCTGTTCTGGATATGGAATGAGGCTTCCTAGGGTGGGGTGGCGGTTAGTAGGTTTTGGTTTTTTGGGTTGGTTGGTTGTTTCTCAGGGTCTTTTTTTTTTTTTTTTTGTGTTGTTTTGATTTTTTTTTTTTTTTTGTCTGCGACCATTATGAAACAGGGCTTCTGTGGTGCCCAACTTCAGGTCCGTGCGTGCTGGCTGCCAGGGACTGGTCTAACTGTGGTTCTCTGGTGCCATCAAGTGGAACATGGACCTGCTTGCAAAGGCCCCACACCCCCATTACCCACTGCGAATTTGCAGTGCCAGAGGTAAAACCTTTAACTGCTGAGCTTTCTGTCTTTGTACGTGCACCTACTTCATAGTGTTTCCTTGTGACCAGAAAGTCACATGTTTTGGTTTGGTGTTTCATCAAAAACTCTACGTAAGGACTCGTTTTATTTCGCTGAGCATTGAACCAGTGACAAATGCCTTTTATTTTTAAAATAAAACAGAAAAGGAGTCCAAGATTTTAATAAGGACACCTGCAAATTAAGAGCCCCTGTTATAACCTGACAGCAAATGCAGAGAAAGATTCGGCCACTGCATGGACTCTGTATAGGACATACCTGATGCTCAGCTGTTTTTTTTGCTTCTGCCATTTTGCCCGTTCCTCGAGCATCTGATGAAAGCATTCCAAAAGTCTGTTTGCTGGCTACCCAAAATACTGACATCCCAGTGTTGCTGCTAGAAATTGATGCACATTTTCATTTTGTGTTCTAAATCTATAGCATCTATTGAAATGGTTTCTGAAAGGTTTGCAAAGAAAACCCACCTGCTCTTTCCATTTCTTGAGTTCAGATATTCTCTTTGCTTTCATGTTTTCATATGCAGTGATGGCATTCCAGGGGATGGATTTGTCCTGGCCAATGGGAAACATCAACTGATAGTTCAGCAGCTGATCCTGTGTCATTTCAGTGCTTTCCAAAGGCATATCTTCAGGTTCAACAGAGTCTGGAAAGGAAAGATATTAAGGTGAACATCTCCAGTGAACATTTGCATTTATTTCCGCAAGTTAAAAAGGTGAAGAAAGAGAAGAAGAATCGACAACAAAAAGTAGCCCAAGACAGATCCATTGCAGTAGCTCTTGCAGGAATAATAAATGGTATATGCGGCACAGCAAATTAAACTTTTGTCATAAATTCATAGGAGGATGCATCAGCTGTTCTCTAACAAGTTGGTTATTTTACGATCCTTTGAAATCACTCTGATCCCAAAGATGAAGCTGCAGCCAGTCTGTTAGAAATGAAAAAAACTTTCTTGACGACAGTGGGTTGTCGAGACTTTGCTAAATGAGGAAAGCCTAGAGTTAAAGTTGTAATGAATTTAGATTTTTGTCAGCACGATGCATTTCAGTTTTTACTCAGGAGAGGAACTGGTCCAAACCTGATGCTGTGGCATTCTGGACTTTGTTCCGTGGCTTGCCTCCCACATCAGAAGGGATGGCAATTCACAGGAGCCAGCAGCAGCTCACACTGGCCTGCAGTCCATCAAGGAGCCAGGGGTTGGTGGGAGCTGTTTTGGGCTTGCCCGATCCGCAGCGCAGGTGAATGCTCACACTCGAGCCGACAGAAGCTCTTTCCAGTCGCAGGGACTCATCATGGGCTAAAAACTTTGACACATGGCTAAATAACTTGTTGGGTTGAAGCTGTAAGCAATCATCCAACGGACTACAAACCACCCGTTTTTCCCTTCGACTATGTTTAAGAACAGATGGAGGTAGAAAATTGAGGAGGGAAGGAAAGAAAGGAAGAATAAAACCAAGGAAAGAAGTCAAATCAAATACTAGACCTTTGTAACTGCAGGAGGCTTAAACACTCAGTTTAGTCACTGTTCTCTCCCTTCTCCGCCCCCTCAAGCACAAGAGAAACTCCACTTAACTGCTATCAATGGCCATCGCTATTTTGACCCAATGATTATTTCTGTGATGTTACTGAGTTACCTTAATCACCACTGCATGACCACAGCGGCAATGATGGGGAAAATAGCAGTAAGTTGTAAAACAATGAAATAAGACTGAAGAAGTTCCTAAGCACCATACAGCATCAGATGCTTGAGACATCTTTTTTTGCTCAAAGACAGCTTGGTTAGCACTGCCCCACTTCAGACACGTTATGTTCTTGAAGGGAAGCCAGGCACAAAGCCCGTATAGGGCTTTTCGTTTTCTGTTGTGACTTTTGGAGATGGACATAAAGTCTAGGAAACGCCCATCCGACTCTAGTTGCTGCTTATTACTAAGGAAAAACCTCCCGCAGCTTCCCCGACAGCTTGTTCTGGTTGTGCCGCATCGCCCCATCACTACACTTTGGGGTTCCCCGAAAGGAGCAATGAGGAGCCCGCTGCGGACGCCTCTCGGCTCCGCACCAGGCCGCGTCTTCCCTCGCCCAGCTCAGAGCCCGTTTCCCTGGGAAAATAATAATAATAATAATAAAAAAAAAAAAAAGGCATCCCTGTTCCCCCCGTCCTTCCCGCGCCCGCCCCGCGGCCCCGGCGAGGGGCTCCGGCCGGCCGGTACCTGCGGGCTCGGCCGGGCGCGTCCCTCCGGGCTGGCTGGCGGGCAGGCACGTCCCTCGCCCTTGGATGAGGGCGGAGAGAGGCCGCGGCTCCCCCGCGGGGACGTGGCAGCGGAGGCCGAGCCGGCAGCGAGGCGCGTAGACCCCGCAGGGCTGCCCCGGTCCCAAGGCGCAGGTTTGGCAGCAACCGCAACCGGGCTGCCGGGTCGCCTCCGGGCAGCCGGGGGCGAGCGGCGGGCAGAGGGCGAGCTTCTCCCGGGTGCAAGGGGAGCAGTGGAGCGGCGGCGGGGCCGGCCCGGCGGCCAGCCCGGCGGCCAGCAGCGCCGGCAGCAGCAGGCCCGGCGGCCAGCGGCGGCGCGGCGGGGCCCGCGGGCGGCTCATGTCGCCGGCCAGAGCGACCGCGGCCGGGGGAGCTCGGGCGGGCAGGGACGGGAGCCCCGGGGCGGCTGGCATCCATCCCGCCCGCCCGGGGGCCATTTATACAGCGCCGTGCCTGGCTATCAATCTTTAACGCCGAGTTAACGATTATCCGCGCGGGAGGGCTGGAGGAGCGGCGTGTCACTGGCGGTTCAAGTCCCTGACCACTCTTACCCTCCCCTTTCACTTTCCCCCCTTTGTCTTTTTTTTTTTTTTTTTTTTTTTTCCAGACATGCAGGAATGCTTTTATTCCCTCACCCCCTAGCACAGTTAACAAGGAAAAATGTGGCGGGGGGGTGGAGGGGAAACGGGCTGAGGGGAATGGATGAGTGGGACGGGGGAGATCCCGTCCCTGTTTGCCTGTCAAAAATATTTCCTGCCTCCTGTTCTTGACATTTGATAAAAATGTAAAAGTTTATTGGGTTTTTTTTTTTTTTTTTTTAAAAAGCGGGGTGGGGGGAAAGGGAGGACGGAAACCCCATTGCCACTGAAGCAACCGGCTTCATACTTGTACAGCAAAACAAACCCTTGTGCAATTTTCGCCCTGTTGGCTGCAGGTGAGGAGGACACCCACGTACCGAAGAGGAGGCCCCGAGGGCAGCAAAGCCACCGGGCTGGGGCCACCTCCGGCCTCTGGGTTCAGTTCTGCTGCTCCCGCCGGGATGAGGGGGGTAGCAGGCCTCAGGACATGCACCTGGGGGGAGCCAGCGTTTGACAAACAGTCTAGAAATCAGTGAGGTACCCGCTTTTCTGCCTGTCCTGTTACCCTCTCCATCTCCTCATATTTCACCTGGGGGGGGAACAACAAACAACGAAACAAAAACCACCGTTTTCTCTTTTGCATGCAACAGTTGTCACTACAATAAAAGCAAAAGTATTCAAACTTCACTGGGCTGAACAGATTATTTTATCGTGGTATTTGCAGTATGTACTGAGCTCAAAATAGCAAATTCCGCTGTCAAGTCATCTAATATAGCATGATTTTTGGTTGGTTTTGTGTTTGTTTTTTTGTTTTTTTGATTTTCATTTAGTTTTCCTCTTTGGTAAACACATCATTTGTGTGAAAGAAAGTGAAGCAGAACTGCAAAACATTGTTTAACATTCTATTATTCACTATTATTTGTTTTCTGGTATTGATGCTAAAGGTTTTCTTTATAATGTAGTGAATTTTTAACCCCCGATATCAATAACCCAGTTCTTAAAAGTATTCTCATTGGTTACAGTCTTTTACAACTTGAGACATTTTCACTTAACTAATCTATTTTTTTTTTTTTTTAATTCAGGTTGTTTTAGGGATCTCTATAGACAAAAGTTGTCAGCGCTTAAAACTCACTAGTGTTTTTAAGCATTTTAAACAAAACATTTTACAGATTTTTAAAAGGATTCTGTGGACTTCACATATCTGACTAGGTCAAAATTTGGCTGAAAACCTAGAGCATGACAATTTCTGCAGATAAACACAGTTAGACTTTTCAAGCTCTAATGCTCTTTTCCCTCTTTCATTTCTAATTTTTTCTTGCACACCTGTCTTAGAAAATCATGGTTCTCTTATCATTACACGTGAAGTGAAAAATATACAGAAATAAGTCTTCTTTCCTCCCTCAAAGAGAAGAAGAAAACAATGCAAACCAAAGTCCTTTTCATGAAGAAACATGAAAAAAAATTACAAATGAAAAGTAAGGCCAATTGTAAAATGACAAAGACCCAAAGATCTCATATGCATCTCTATATGTTTCAGCATGTATTCATTCGCTTATCTATGTATGTCTCTCTGCTGTGTTAGATAGCTTTGTATGAACAGAATTGAGCATCATTCAACTACTGACTGATTAAGGTAAGCTGCCTCCAGTTTTTCAGTCTGTAAAAAAAAAAAAAAAAGTGAACTGAGAGGTAATAGCTTTTAATCCTACACGTGAAATGTTTTTGAAAAGGTTTTTTTAATTCATCACCACCACTTTTAAGTAACCGGATGAAGAAAGACACTTAATGCAAGAACAGAGTCCTTGTTTGACACACAGGCCCATGTCGCAAAACTTCCATTAGTTTCAGAAGAATCTCATTCTTCCAAAACACCATCACGTTTTCAGGTCTTTGGCGTGTTTTCCCTTGCTGCCGGGCAGCTGGCAGCGTCTGAGCTGCCCAGGCAATCCCTAACAACTGGCGTTGCTCAGTTTACCCAGTAAGATAAACGAAAGATAAACAAAAAACACCCACAGATTATAAAATGTTTTGAAGGTGTTTTTGGTTTGTTTCCTTTATATTTGCAGGTCAACTCTAAACGATGGCCCAGGCTTTTTTTCCCTTGCTGTCTTTTGTACAATCAAACTGAGGAAGCCTAAAACTGCTAAAGCAGACTTTGTGAGCAGATGTTTTTCTGCAGAAAAAGGTAGATAAAAATCAGTCACTTCATATTTCATTTATATAAACGTAATGAACGCACACTAGACCAGGTTATGATAATTTAGGGAAGTATCAATCAGCAAGGCAATGCTTTTGTGTAGGCCATGGGACTTCAATGAAGTGAAAGTGGTGTATATGTTTATGTAGGCTCTGTTTGATGTAATACTACAACTCATCTACTGATCTCCATCTCTGACCCTGACATTGCTTTAAAGAACACAAACAGATAAGAGTCAGGAGGTTAAAAACATCCATGATGTAAAGTTGTGTTTACTGAAGACTTTTGACGGTAATTTTTAGGTGTCTCAACTGTTGTCCCCTAATTTGAACCACTTGTCAAAAGACACCACATGAATCCTAGGCAAGGGTCACTTTTCTACAAGACTTTCCACACTGGGTTCTCAGTAATTATTAGCCAATTACCTCGTTTTGCATGTTCAATAAAGTTTGGGATTTAAAAAATTTTTTTCTTTAAAGCCACGTGGAGTCTGGGTACAAGTCATCTTTATCCTCTAATCGCCAAAAGTTCAAGTGACTTGCCAAATAATTTCCTACTGGGACTGCCGCTCTGGATTTCTGTAAAAAACCCCAAAAGAACAAGTGGAATATCCTCATTATTTTTCTTTAGGTAAGAAACTAAGCCTGAATTGTAAGCTTAATATCCAAAACTACTGTGTGATACACTCATACACACATATATAGCATCAAGCATATGAAGAGAAACAGCCATGATAGAAATACAAAAAATCTATCTCCTTCTCTGTCGCTTATCCCCTATCAAAAATGCCTTATTTCATCTCTGTGGATTATTAGGAATTTATTATCCAAGTAATAGACAGTGCTTAGGTTATTGATGAATAATTGGATGCAAGCATTTATTGATTGATTGTCATCACTTTGTAGCAATGACATACATGCCATTTGATATTATTTTCCTATTCTGGTTGGGTAAGCATGACTTTTAGAATTAGGTTCTGGACACAGATAATGAAATGTTCTAAGTTTGTGTTTCACTAACTTTTGTAGAATGACTTTTGCTAATTTTTTCTTCCCAGCAATTAATTTTCCTAGGATGTGAAAAATATTTTAGAAATACCTAAAACTGCAGAAACTCCAGTGAGAGAAGAAAAGTGAGAGGCTGTCTCATGGCAAGTCTAGCTAGGGAAGGTTGTGGACTTTCTGCATCAAATCATGAGTCATTAGGTTCAAAAAAAGAGAGGAAAAAGTAATTTATTTCATTAGAGACACCCAATGTGTTTGGGCACGGAGTAAAACACTTTGTTCACAATCTTGTGAGTGCATAGACCAGCCAGATGATTATTTTCTAAGAACTGTTGAGCTCTTCTGACAAGACAGGTTAAAGTCCTTTGGTTATCCTACCATGGGCCAGCTGGTCCATGCAGCGGTGCACAAGTGTGAGTTTGTCTAGGTAGAGAAATAATCCAGAACCACGGGCTTGCTGTGCTATGACAAAGCTGAAAGCATGATGCAGAGTGTGAGTTCCTGTGCAGAGAGTTAATACAAAAAAGGCTTCTGCTTCACCCCTTCTGCTGTAGTCATCATTATTAACCCCTGGTAGCAGTGGAAATAAAGGCTTTTTGGTGCTTGCCAGAGGGAGCTATCAGGGACTTTGAAAAATGTAAATGATCCCTTTAGCACTGGCTCCAGGCACCTAAACTAGTATCAGCTGTTTAAATCTCTGTGTTCTTCAGCCACTGACTCTCAGGAGCACCCCCATGCAAGTAATGTGCCCTTTATGGCTGTGCCTGAGGGCTGCAGGCACTGATGACAGGAGTCTCCAGCCTTTACCACCATTCAGTTCACTTTCTTAAGTGGTTGATATCTTATGCTGATAAGGGAAAGGGTAAATTCTGCAGAGATTTACTCTAAATGTAACAGGGCTGTCAAATATGTATTAAGGCATCTCATGTGAAGGGCAGTTGGAGACAGCAACAGAAGGCTACTGCTTACTGTAATGTCTGGGTCTGTCAGATGGGTTAAATGCCAGGATGCACATGAAACTCCCCTTCCCAAACTAATACATGGCTTTCTAGGAACAAGCCTTTCCACATGCATTAGGGAGAAAAGGAGGGGGTACTGATGAAGAAAAAGTGAGATCCAGCTCCAGGCAAGGGGCACCATAGTTGCACAATTTAGGAGAAACGTGCCCGTGGGACAACAGCCAACAATAATTCCTTTTTATTGGCTTATACCTCACTACATGTAACCATGGATATTCTCTTTCCCAGGAGAGAGGCTGGATTTTGAAAGGAGCTTACTACTTAACCCAAAAATGGAGAAGACCCTGATGTTTCAAAGTCCTGCTCTTCTGAGGCTTCATGGAGGCTTTTCTCCTCCATGAGTACCTTTGGCTGTTAGTTCTAGAATCTAAAATGCCGTTCTTTTGCCTTCTTACCCTTCTCAAAATTACAATAAAAATAGGAATAAGTCATAGGACCCAGACCACAGTAAGTTAAGAGGTCCATTTTCTCTGGTTATCCATCCTATGAAGTGGGAAGCCAAAACTGGGGGACAAACATGCCTGAACTTTGCCTGCTACAGGAACAGGGGCTGGGCTGCAGGCAGAGCAGAAGGCAGCAGCCCAACATTCTCAGCAAGAGAGCAAGAAGACTGTTACTGACAGCAAAATGATACGCTGTTAAAACAGGAAGGCACTTTTCTCTGGATCATTCACAGTTGTTTTCCACATTCACTTCGGCACTTGTTCTTACAAAAATAAAAGAGTTTGCCCACCTGCTTTTGTCAATGAATCTATCCCTGCCTTTTGTCCTGGGGCATTTCTGATTTCAGCAATGCAATTACTATTAATTGCTGTTATAATATTGCTGCTAGTAATACCAAGAGTACTTTTTGTCAGGTTTCAGAGCCTCTACTGTTTCCCCAGAGAACAAGACAGGACTCTGGGACTTAAGTCAGTTCTAGAGAGCTTGAGGATTGCACCAAGAGCTGAAACCAGGTAAGCTGCTGCTGGGATTCAGGGTTGCCTGAGCTATTATTCAAACATCACCACTGTTGAATTAGTGTCCGGTAGTTATCAAGTGTGAAAGCTTTTGATGCTCACTGCAGCCTTAATCTACATGTATTTACTATTTCAGACTCTTTGCAGGGGATCCACAGTGAGGTATGGTCAAGTTCACACTGTCCAGAGGAACAAAGATTCTGAGAGGTGGTGGCCTCTTCTTGGGACCCCTGAACCTTTCTGTGTGGGGAGGGCAGGGCTTGTTTCTGTGGGAAGAGGTAGGAAAACAGCATGAAGACAAAGCACCTGTGAGACACAACACCCTTGTTCAGGCAGGTTGCTCTGTGGGGCACCTACTCTTGGGTGAATACACCCCAGCAAGCATTTTAGAGAAAACTGAAGCTGCTAACTCTACTTGTCAGCAGTTTTAAGGCTTCTTGAAGGAGAGCACGTTTTGCAAATAGAGATGTGAATGGGTTAATCCAACCTGTTATTATATCAAAATCAC